TGACATCAGTTGAGATGTGAATATCAGAGTAACTACATGTCCGAGGCAAACAAAACTAAATAGGCTTCATGTTGAACAATACAATAATTATTTATTAAAATTGAACAAGGAATTCAGAGGGATGTAGATTTTATAACCGATTTCACAGCTTCACAAATGTTCAATATGTGCACCACCTGTGACACAACGCACGTCAAGTCGGTAGTCCAGCACCTGTCAAACCAACATTCAAGCCGATATCAGTGTCTATTGATGTTTCTGGCCAGCTGGGATGGGTCGAGGCTTGAGTTTGTTACTGCAAGTCAAGTCAAGTCAAGTCAAGTCAAGTCAAGAGGCTCTTATTGTCATTCCATCTATATACAAGTACACAGTGGAGTTAAATTACGTTCCTCCAGGAACAACACGGTGCAACAACGAACAAAAGTACAAAAGTACAAAAGCACAAAGTGTGAACGTGCAGGCAGTGTGCAAACAAAAATTAAGCTAGAAACAATACAATAAGTACAATAAATTAAACAGACATTAGACACAGTAAACAGACCGGACAGTGTAGCACCGACACAGCACAGATTTTTGGACATGAGGTAGTGGAATAAGGTGCAGACATATTTAACATGATGTGATCTGTAAGTTACGTCAGATAACTAGTAAAACAATTACAATCACTGAGGTAGTAAAACAGTTACTGAGGTAGGAAAACAGTGTAAACACAGTATTGGCAGCAATGTTCCAGATAGATAGTGCAAGTAGAGCATCAAAAGAGGTGTGTATGAGTGTGTAGGGGGGGATTTAATTCAGTCCTTGTGAGTTTAAAAGCCTGATTGCTTGAGGGACAAAGCTGTTGCAGAGTCTGGCAGTGATGGCACGGATGCTCCGGTACCTTCTGCCAGACGGCAGCAGTGAAAAAAGTGTGTGTGAGGGATGGATGGGGTCGTTCACGATGCTGGTGGCTTTGCGGATGCAGCATGTGGTGTAGATGTCCATGATGGAGGAGAGAGAGACCCCGATGATCCTCTCAGCTGTCCTCACTATGCACTTGCGGTCGGAGGCTGTGCAATTCCCAAACCAGGCGATGATGCAGCTGCTCAGAATGCTCTCCACAGTCCCCCTATAGAACATGCTGAGGGTGGGAGGGGGGAGATGAACTTCCTTCAGTCTCCACAGGAAGTAGAGGCGCTGCTGGGCTCTCTTGACTATGGAGTTGGTGGTGAGGGACCAGGTGAGGTTCTCTGTGATGTGGACGCTGAGGAACTTGGTGCTCTGGATGATTTCCACAGCAGAGCTAGTGATGTTCAGTAAGGCGTGGTCACCCCGCACTCTTCGGAAGTCAACAACTATCTCCTTAGTTTTGTCTACATTCAGAGACAGGTTGTTGGTTCTGCACCAGTCTGATAGCCGCTGCACCTTCTCTCTGTATGCTGACTTATCATTCTTGCTGATCAGACCCACCACAGTCACGTCATCAGCAAACTTGATGATGTGGTTTGAGCTGTACTTTGCAGTACAATCATGAGTCAGCAGAGTGAACAGCAGCGGACTGAGCACACAGCCCTGAGGGGCGCCGGTGCTCAGTATGGTGGTGCTGGAGATGTTATTACCTATCCTGACTAACTGAGGTGTCTTAGTCAGGAAATCCAGGACCCACTTACAGAGGGAGGCATTCAGGCCCAGCAGGCTCAGTTTTCCATTCAGCTGCTGAGGGATGATGGTGTTGAATGCTGAACTGAAGTCTATGAACAGCATTCTGACGTAGGTGTCTCTATTGTCCAGGTGGGTGAGAGCCAGGTGGAGTGTGGTGGAGATGGCATCATCTATTGAGCGGTTAGGGCGATATGCAAATTGCAGTGGGTCCAGTGAAGGAGGAAGCTGGTCTTTAATGTGCCTCATGACAAGCCTCTCAAAGCACTTCATGATGATTGGAGTGAGTGCAACAGGACGATAGTCATTGAGGCAGGACACTGGAGACTTCTTCAGCACAGGGATGATGGTGGTGGACTTGAAGCACATTGGAACGACTGCAGTGCTCAGAGAGATGTTGAATATGTCAGTGAGAACATCAGCCAGCTGTTCAGCACATTCTCTGGGCACTCTGCCTGGTATGCTGTCGGATCCTGGAGCTTTCCGTGGGTTGACTCTGAGTAGAGTTCTCTGCACATCAGCTGGAGACAGACTCAGTACTTGTTCACTTGGAGGAGGAGTGGTTTTCTGTCATGCCGTTCTGTGCTTCAAACCGGGCATAGAAGTTGTTTAGTGCGTCTAGAAGGGAGGCATCACTGTCACAAGCAGGTGGAGGTGACTTGTAATCGGTGATGGCCTGGATGCCCTGCCACATGCACCATGTGTCAGCAGTGTTTTGAAAATGTTCATGGATTTTCTTTGAGTTGGCACGCTTAGCCTCTTTGATGGCCCGGGAAAGCTTGGCTCTTGCTATCCTGAGGCTTGCTCTGTCCCTTGACTAAAAAGCCTTGTCATGGGTTCTCAGTAGCATTCGCACCTCTGCAGTCATCCATGGTTTCTGGTTGGGGTGTGTTGTGACGAGTTTGGAGACAGTAACATCATCAATGCACTTGCTAATGTAGCCAGTCACTGATTCTGTATACTCCTCCAGGTTGACGGAATCACCAGAGGTTGCAGCTTCTCTGAACATTGCCTATCTATACTGATTAAGCATATTTAACATTTGGCTGCTGCTAAACAACCATTTTATACACTTATATAGACAATAAATGTAGTCATATTAAAATATCTTGCATACTCTGTTGATAGACAACTTGTAGTCTATTGATTGAGTTAATGATGTGTTTGTTGAAACACAGATGAAGATCTATTCACATGTTGTTGAGAATCAATTGATAAACTGGTTGATAATTGTCAACTGACAGGTTGGTGACAGTCTGTAGATGATTTATTGATTGTTTGTAGAGTGTCTAAAAGCAGAAATAAAGTGTGACCCATTCTACCACCTGAGGTCTCCATGTCCTCTATTCGTTGGGAAATCGATGAAGAAATTGAAAAAAACCTTAATTAACGTTACCACTCCTGATCAGCGCCCTCCAGAAAAACCTGTACCTAGCCAGTTTTGCACTCAGCTGTTCACTCTACCAACCCCACTTTCCAGTCACCTTTCAAATCAATCGGTTTTGCCAGTTTTGCTCTATAATAAGAAATTTGATTATCAGGGTATACTTGGGGGCTTGTACGGATGAATTGCATGGCAATGTAATACAAAGTCACCCATGTTTGCCGTTTGTGGTAATGAACACATTCACAAAGTGATACATATTTTAAGGTTTTTGTATGTCCACTACATCATTTTCAGGAACCCAGCTGTTGAATTTGGACGGCCAACCCAACCATTTCACTGAAACCAATATTTTTTTTACCCTGTCTAAAATCTTTTCAACTTTGAATGTTTTATGTCCAGACACATTTATTTTTTGCAGTTCTGGTTCATAGAAACAGCCCTGTATAATATCACCATCATAACCTTTCAGTCTATAAACAGGCAGTTGTCAATGGATGCGCTCTGATATGGTGACAAATTCATGTGTATAGTTCTCCTCATAACCCTTTATAAATGGGTTTTAAACACAATAAATTCATTTTCTTTGGTCACATCGACAGGCTTCATTTTTATACTCCTATGATAACTGTTGTTGTACCCGCACATTATGTCTTGTAAAACATTAGAGTACCTTTTCGAATTTATAGCTGTTAGATATCGCCACATACAACTTTTTAGCGTTGTGTTAAAGCGTTATATGACGCTAGCCTTTAGTTCACTACCTGTAGCAAAATGCGTGATTTTGAAAATGTTGAAAAACTCTTTACCCATGTCAGTCTGTAGGTTTTGAGAAACTCTACCCTCGGCTAGTATGCATGCAAACACATTAGCGACTTCCAAACCTGACTTATTTTTTAACAATCAGGCCCATGCATATTTGCTTAACACAGCAATACATGTGAACATATATCACATGTCAACATAAATCTCTCAGGTGAGGCGGGGGGGGGTCATAAATCACTTGTCTGAAAGAAGGTGTATGATACATACTACTACTGCCTGAATATAAGCAAACCTTCTCCCCTTGACTCTTGTTTTCAGGCTAAACATAGCCTAAGTGCAATAAAATGCATCTCAGGGGTTAGGACCAGAAACTGAGAGACAGAAGCACAGACTGAGACTGGGTTAGTACCAGAGACTGAAAATGGGGCAAAACTAGAAAATGAGTTTAGAGCATGACTGTAGAGTTAGACTGGGGCAGAAGCAGAGTCTGAGACTGAGGCAGAAGTGGAAATTAAGACTGGATCAGAAGTAGAGACTGACACTTGGGCAGAAGCAGAGATTGGGACTGGGGCAGAGGCAGAGTTTGAGACTGAGACATGGATAGTGTCTGAGACTGGGGCAGAAGTAGAAACTGTGACTGGGGCAGAGGTAGAAACTGAGACTGGGACAGAAGAAAAGACTGGGACTGGGGCAGAAGTAGAAACCAAGACAGGGGCAGGAGAAGAGACTGGGACTGGGGCACAAGCAGAAACTGAGAAAGGGGCAGAAGAAGAGACTGGGACTGAGGCAGAAGTAGAATCTGAGACAGTGGCAGTAGAAGAGACTGGGATTAAGGCACAAGTAGAAACTGAGGCAGGAGCAGAAGCAGAGACTGGGGCATAAGTAGAAACTGAGACGGGGCAGAAGAAGAGACTGGGACTGGGGCAGAGGTAGAAACTGAAACAGTGGCAGTAGAAGAGACTGAGAGTGGGGCAGAAGTAGAAATGTTTGAGATTTGAGGGGTTACAGTTGGTTAATCTGTGTGTGTGTGTGTGTGTGTGTGTGTGTGTGTGTGTGTGTGTGTGTGTGTGTTAGTTCTTAAGGCTCAGTGGCTGCAGGGGGTGTTACAACAATAGAATATTTTGAGCAGTATCTTCAAAGTCACGCCCTCTTAGAACACACATACATATAAATCATCCACCCGTATCTCTCCATTACACTCTCGACTTCTCAACTTCACCAAACATGAAGCCGCAGGTCACTCTGGTGCTCATCTGCATGATTTTGTCTGGAGGTACAGAGTTACATATATTATGGGCAGATTTAATGCAATGAATTGTAGTTTATTAATTGATTATTATTACTGATTGTCATTGATTTATTCATTGTAAAAGGGCATTACAGTTTCGTTGTGGATGTTTTTCTGTGCAGAAAGCTTTTTCCTTTTGCTCTGTTGTTGTAATGCAAAATCATCAGTTAAAATTACTGTCTAAAATTCATTGTCAGTAATTGTTTTTATAATTACAAGTCAATAGTCAATAATTATTATTGAAAACTGAAAACAAAAAGTTAAGTGTGTTATTTTACTTTTAGTAGTTGTTTGTCTGTCTGTCTGTCTGTTTGTTTGTTTTAGCTTTCCATTTCACGACTTTGTGTGTTTACCTGTGAAGCTTTTCAGGCTTCAGCAGCACTGAAGTGTTTGAGGTGTGTCAACAAAGCGTGTCTTGCTTCAGAGTGTGGGGCTAATGAAGATCGCTGCTATACCGTACCAAGTGAGTCAGAAAGCTCAACCTCCCTGTCTCACTACTCTGCAGTTTACCACTCACAGTTACTGAGCTGGAGTCAACTTATGTGAAATGTTACAAAGAGCCAAGTTTAGCTCTGTAGTTGTATGAAATCAAGTGCTTCGGGGTTTTAGTATAAAACAGACAAATGTCATACACAATAAATAAAAAATAAATAAAGCACAAACACACACAGAGATTAGTTCAAAAGTCGATTTTCACTTGAAATCATCATGAAATACTTAAATAAATCACAATTGTATAGCAAACGAATACTAGAATTACATTACATAATTAGTACATAAAAAAAGATTGATGATCTGTTTCCTCATTTACCTCAGGCTGAACCATTTCATCAAATTTTACAGTATAATGTCACTGTCAGAATAAAACCATGTGTCTCCAATATGGTAGCTTTGCAAGAGAAAGGGAAACAATTCTTAACTTTCAATGTAAATTAATGGAGACATTTTTTTTTTTACACAATTTTGGGCCATTTTATTGATCCATTCATCAAGCGACCTTTAAACAAAATAAAAAGGGCAGTTGAAGTTTTAAAATGATGCCAAAAATGACAAATTATGTCAACAAAAATGCACAGTGAGCAATGATAAATGTTCCCTATTAGTGTTCTGAAGTGTGATGGCTGCTCCTAAGCAATAACAGGGAAGCATTAGAGTAATAATTATTTAGTTTAGTTTAGTAGAGTATAATTATTAGAGTACTCATTATTTCGATGAGGGGCTTTAAAATGTCTAAATGATTGTTAGTGAATTGAAAAACATTGTTTTTTCCCACTAAATTCTTCTTAAACTCTAATTCTTCTTATCTCAGCTTCAGTGTTTGGCTTCAGGCTCACTGGGAAAGGATGTTCAACCAAGGCAGATTGTGAAGTACAAGATGCTGCTGGGAAGATATCCTGCTGTAAGACGGATCTGTGTAACAGTGCTGAGGGGGTTAAGCTGAGTCTCCTCATGATGCTGGGGCCACTGATCTTCTCTGTCCTCTTCATCTGAACTCTCTGCTGCTCCTCTCTCAGTAGTTCATCTCTTACTGGAGGAACAGAAATATTATTACTGTTTGGAGATAGTTACGTAATTTCCCTGTTTTCTTGCTCAGCTGCACTCTGTGGTAATGTGTGTGTGCTTAATGATAGCTACTGTAAGAGCATTTCTGTAACCAAATGATCAATAAAGTTTATAAAGACTAAGAGGGGTGTACGCTTCATTGGTATTTGAATTGGAGAATTGATGAGATGTTCATAAAACTTCATTAGCAGATCGACTGTAACGAGTCTTCATTTCACTTATTAATTCAGTGACAATTTGTGATTCAAGCAACTGCATATGACAACTGTTTATGGACTTTAAGCAGATCACTGATGAGCTGTACTTCTAAGGGCCTGCTATCTTTAATTCTGGTGTGCAGTTGAAAGGTTAAACCTGTGGCCCCCAACTCAAGTAATACAGCCCCAAGAATCTGGCAACAAGAAGACAAGGATGAACAAGCTAATTAAGGAGGATGAGGACATATCTGAGCAAGACAGCAGTGAGAAATACTGACCTTACCTTACATAGGATGCATTAGTTTCTAGCATATTAACTATCATGATGATTTCACATTTAAGATAAAAGTTCATCAGTTCTCGCTTTATCCCTTGCTGGCCACCTTGTTTTTCTCAGCGTAGCATATAAATACAAAATAAGGGTAGGAAATGTAGAAAATGAAAAGGCATAGATTTTAGAAGTTATTCAGGAGAGATTTTAGCCTGTGACACATGCAGTAAATAACACCTAATTTATGGCTACAAGCAATTGACAAAAATAAAATTATTAAAAAAATAAATAATTGTGTAACAATACACCACATTATTATTATTATTATTATTATTATTATTATTATTAGTAGTAGTAGTAGTAGTAGTACAGTAACTTATTACTATTCTGTTCGCAGTTCACATGGCTCTGGTCTTGTCAGCAAACTTCATAAAGCAGAAGAGCAGCGCCATCTAGTGGACACAATGAATATTGATTATTGGCAATGAATACTGACATGGCGTCATGCTGTCCTGCACTCTGCAGTTCAGTGATTTGAATTCATTTGAGTTGAGTGAGTGACTCATTTAGCCTTACATAGTGATGATCTGTTGGCACTTACTGTTGTTTCTGTTTGCGAGTGTGATAATTAAAATTCTTGTACACATGGAAGTGAACACAGGTGGTTCATTCTACTACAGCAATGGCAGATGGTGTCCCACAACTCTGCAGCCATGAAATGAGCTCAAAATAAGAATCAAACACAGAAAGCTATCTGTGTATTCTTTGTTCTGTTTCTAACCAACAAAATTCTATGATCATGCATATTTAATGTTTATTTCAGTGATTTTATTCATGTTGTAAAATGTACTTTTTACATTATGATTTGCCAATTGGGTAAATTAGTTAATGAGCTGGATAGTAGTTATTTAGCTGGCTAACCTCAGCTAGATAAGCAAAGTAGAGAACTTTAGTATTTCATTTCCTAACAATATTATGTCCTCCAAAGATGACTATATTGGCTAATCGGTGAACTGTATTCCTTCAGCTTTTAGTGAGTCAGCTAGTTCTCTGTTTGATGAGATGATAATGTAGCTAAGTAAATAGTTATTTTGTATACAAATAGTCCATATTTTGAATTAGTTGTTCAGTTGGCAGTGTTACTACCCTTTCAACTTACTTTTTGCTACTATAATTTCTTACTTAATCATTTAAGTCTGAAGTGAGTGAATAGAGTAAATATTATATATTTCAGTTTTGTTTTTGGGGTGTAAATAGTGTTGTTTTATTGCGAGTTCCCAGAGTAAAAGCATTTATTGAACAACTGCTTAAAAAAAAAAATGCACTCCATGCCTTCCTCTTCTCATTTGCATACATCACGTAACATAACTGCGTACCACAACATCCCCCTTTCTGAAATAAAAGCTTTTTAATAGCTTAATTTCCTATCTCAGCTTAAATTTATGAATTCTAATAGGTTACTTTTGTTTTGAAAGTCAAAGGCCAAAACTAAACTACATACCTCCGTTTACACGTATGCAACATTTTTGTTTTTTTCCTAGAAAGTTGAGGTGGACTACCCAACTTTCGACTGAGTGTAAGGATTATTCTGCCCCAATGCTCACAGTTTTTCCAAAAGCACCTGCTGTCTTTCAGGTGCCTTGGAAGGTGGCGTTCTCTTTCTGGGTATCTTCTCTCTCCTCCAGCTGCAAAGTGAAGAGTCTCTGCAACAGGGTCTGGGGGAGGCGTGGCATCAGCTGGGTCTGGAGAGCTGGTAGACTGATCCTCTAGCAAGACTGCTGATTCGTCAGGTGCATCAGACACTGTCACTAGATGAGCTCTGTTTCTCCACAGGATACCCCTTGGTGTGTCTATGAGGTATGACCTGGGCTGCTTTGTTTTTGACAACACAGGTACTCTCTCTTTCATGTCCTTCACCCAAACATATTCCCCAGCATTCAAACATCTCAGATCACGAGCTGTATGTCTCTTGTTAAAGCTTCTCCGCCGCTGCCGCCTGTTCTATTGCTCTTTCACTTTGAGTTTGTGAAGATCTGTCCAGCCTGGATTTTAGTCGTGACAAACTGACTGGAATAGGAGTACGGATCTTCCTTCCCATGAGAAATTCTGAGTGTAGCGATTTGCTAGAGGAGTTGAGTGATACGCCATCAATGAAAGGTATGGGTCTTTTGCTTTTTTCAAAAAGGCTCTTTACAGTTCTCACTGCGCGTTCCACCTCGCCATTGCTTTGTGGAAACCGTGGGCTGGAAGTTTGATGTTGGAAGTCCCATTCCAAAGCAAACTTCCTGAAGCTCTCAGATGAGTACTGTGGGCCGTTGTCCGAGCGGATAACAGCAGCAATCCCATGCTGTGCAAAGATAGATCTGAAGTGGTTTTTTTTTTTAATTTTTACCACGATTTTCTCCCCAATTTAGTCGTCTCCAATTCCACCCCGCTAGCTAGGACTCCCCCAATCACAAGATGCTATCAACGCTAGGAGGGTGAAGGCTAACACAGGCTTCCTCCGAGACCTGTGAAACCAGCCACCGCTTTCTTTTCGAGCTGCCACTCATGCGACGTCACTGGACAGCTGAACGCGCTCAGAGGAAAGCACCAACCGCCAGATCTGTTACATCAGCATCGTGCTGAGTGAGTGATGGGGGGAGAAGGGCAGCCATCCCACCCACCCAGAGAGAGCGAGGCCAATTGTGCTCTCTCGGACTCCCGGCTACGGATGGCTGTAGCATCACCAGGGATCAAACTCGCGATCTCCTGATGATAGGGCCAACGCTTAGACGGTTGCGCCACTCGGGAGCAGATCTGAAGTGTTTAATTGCTGCTTCTGAGGAAGCCGAGTTGAGCTTTGCCACTTTAAAAATCTGGAGAAGTAATCCACCACGAGTAAGTACTGCTGATCTTTAAACTGAAAGAGGTCTGCTCCGACTTTGTACCAGGACAGATCTGGAAGTTCGGAATGGAGGAGTGTCTTTTTCAAGTTTACTCTCTTTTGCACGTCACAGTTCTTGATTTCATTGTTCAGCTGTGTACTTAGGCCCTGCCACCATACTAACTGTTTGGCCCTTTCTCTGCATTTTGTAATGTGACCCTCGTGTAGCTTTCTCTGGATATCAGCTCGGAGTGGTGGTGGTATTACTAATCTTTGCCCTTTTAGAAGCAATCCATTTACCACTGTGAGCTCAAAGGGCAAATGTAGTTGAAAGGTTTGTTCAATGAAAAAACTTATCTGACCATCCTTCAATGCAGAACTTCATCTTGATACCGGTATTGCCAAATTTCATCCAGTCTCTTTTCTGTGGCAGGTATACTAGCCATCACAGCGTCTAGATAGAGATGAGTTTCTTCTTCTAGCTTTTGGTCCCCTGTGCTTTTCACCAGAGCTCTAGAGAGCACACCTGCTGAAGCTATACTCTTACCAGTGACATGTGAGATTGTACACGAGTATCGCATTAGTCGCATTCGCAGACACAGTATTCGTCTAGGGTTTTTGAGCCTAGGAGACCAATGGTTTATGGTCTGTTTCTATGTGAAATGTGATGCCAGAAAGGAATTCTGAAAATCGTTCACATGCCCAGGTGTTGGCAAGGGCTTCCTTTTCACTCGAGGTCTAGTTTGCTCTGCTAAATGAGGCAGGAATTTCCCTAGGTGATTCCCCATGCCTAGGAAATGCCTAACCTCAACATTTCCTAATTCTGGCATGGTGGACACAGCTTGCACTTTGACTGGGTCAATGCTCAACCCTCACTGAGATGAGCTTGCAGATAAACCAGGTTCAGAGTTTATTGAACAGCTGCTTGAACAAACCTGCACTCCATGCCTTCCTCTCCTCATTTGCATAAGTCACGTAACATAACTGCATGCTACAACAGATAGCAGTAAAATAACCTGACTGTCCTGTCATTCATGTTCAGCATGTGTCGTAGCACATAAAGCCTTGGCAACACACAAAGAGCCTCATCCTATGCTGACTCCACCACATTCAGACTCCATCCTCCAACTCAATTCTTTCCGCTTCTCCTCCCAGCTCAAGAAATAATCCTAAGCTCAGTCGCCCCTCGTATCCTGTCAATTTATTGGTCAGGATGGAAATCTTTCCAGCGCTTTCATGCACTTCACAGCATACCATTCCCTTCAGACAATCTTTCAACAACAGCTGCTTTTCTCACATTTGACAGTTCGCACCTGGCCATTCACTCTTCCACCTTAAGAGTCTATTTAGCTGGGATCAACTTCTTCATAAAGCTCACCAACAGATCCAAACACACCACAGCTAACCACCCTCATATCTCACTTTTACTAAAAGAAATCCAAAGAAACAAACCTCACCTTCCACCTCATCAGCTGCCCTTAACCTCTGACATCCTGCACCATTGCATTCAGGCATTCCATGCTGGACTCTTCCCAAAGGCGATATCTACCACCTTAGAAGCCCTTTTTCTCCTCGCTTTTCTGGAATGTTCCGAATGTTCAGAATATACAGCTCAAACCTTCAACTCTGCTTTACATCCCTGCCTATCTGACCTAATTATACTAAACTCAGATCTTTAATATCAAACAAAGCAAAACAAACCAATTTGTTTGTAATGGTGGATGGCTGACCAGACTGAGGATGTGAACCCTGGCTGTCTGTCATGCTATATTTACAGGGCCTACCAGGTGAGCCACCACAGGTTTTGGGGACACAGAACCCAAAGGTACAGCAGATGGATGAGCTGAACAAAAGAACTTCAGCACCTGATGAATCCGGAGATCAAATCTGGGCCCTATTGGTGCTGCGCAAGCGCTCTATCGCTACACCACCGCAGTGCTGAAAAGAGCACCTTTATATGGGATAGCCCGAAAAGGTGGGAAAAGCTGTCCAAACTTGTAAACCCACCTATTTTTGTCAGGCACGAAAAAGAACAAAGCAAAACAGGGGAAAACTGGCTTTCTCAGATGTAGAGAGAAAATGAAGTAATTGGCCTTAAAAGAAGAACTACCCTGACCAACTGACCAGCTGCAGTTACAAAACCTTGTTAAAACAACAACTATTTCCAAACAACACTGCTGAATTCACACGCTGGGCAGAGATATGCATGTTCTTTGTTATGACTTTCCCATGTTCAGATGGTTCATACGCTGGTAGAAGATTTGTTCAGAGAAGTTAGTTCTTCTGTTAATAATCTAGCTAGGTTTAATATCCCTTCATATTTATTAACCCTCTCATTGAGGAGAGCTTAGAAACAACTTCCTTAAACACAGTGCAATACCAATCCATATAAACTCTGAAGCTAAAGAAATTGTTTTCTTAATAAACCTCCCCACTATTAGTGAAAACTAAAGGCCCTCAAATCCTTTTTAGTGAATACATTATTAGTCAGAACAAAAAAAAATGTTTATTCATTAAATATGAACCATTCTAACTGTGTCTAAAAGGACAATGCATTTAAAAAGTCACATTTTTCCTGAAACATCTTAATGTTCTGCCATTTCAACCAGTAAGACCGCACTGAGTTTTAGAGAAATGAAAGTAACCAGAAGACTCTGTCTCCATCCTGCCACACATCCTGACCACAGAGCAGTGATAAGTCTCTAAAGACACACCAGCAAGTAATTTGTATGTTATTTTCATCATTTATGTGGCACAGGCCAAAGAGGAGCTCAAACAGGCCAAAAGTAGTTGCTAATTATAATAGAAAAATACAGTTAGAAGAACACATCTGTATGCACTCCAGTCATTGAATGGATTAGTGAATTCCATCAGCAGCACAAGTGATCAGGTTTTGTATAGTAACCACAAGTACTGAGCTGCTTTCAGTTTCTGGTTTAAATGTGCACATTATAAAAGTAAGAGGCATAAAATTGTATTGTTGTATTTTTTAAATTATGATTATTTTAAAGTTAATATTTTTTGAAGTCAAATAAACCCTTACTACCCTGATGTTTAGCTCTATGTATAATGTTCAAAACAACAACAACAACAACAACAACAACAACAACAACAACAACAACAATAATAATAATGCACACTGTATGGTAATTTTGCTCTTTCAGTATGTATGGATTTATCAACATATGGAGAATACAACATTCATAGTGTAGAGATATGTTAATAGAAATTGAACTGAGACATGCAGATTATATATATATATATATATATAAATAAATAAAAAAATAAATAATCTATTATATTACACACACACACACACACACACACACACACACACACACACACACACACACTTGCAGAACACAGAGCTGTGGGTTTTTGCACATTACTGCTCATTTATTTATTTATTTTCTGTAAACTGTATTAAGATGACAATAAAAAGTAATTGAGGTTATCGATAATGACGCTGAGATGTCATGGGCTTAGAACTAGAAGGATCCATGTGCCTTTTTTATCAAAAGTGAGTGCATATGTTAATCATTACTGATGATTGTTGTGGCTGAGGTGAAATAATTAAAAAAAAAACTGTAGAGTCTGTCTTTTAATTTTTTTTTAAAAAGGTCCTTCTTTAAAAAGCCATATTATGCATTGTTTAAGATGGTAGATTAGAATCTTGTAATCAACTGTGTAGATTTTGTGCATCAGCCAGAGGTCATTCCCAACACTGACAAACACAGTTCTGTACAATGTGCTGGACAAAAGTCAAATGTTTCCTGAAATGTCTTAAATGTTGTCATTTCAACCAGCAAGACCGCACTGAGTTCTAGAGAAATTAAAGTAACTAGAAGACTCTGTCTCTATCCTGCCACATGTCCTGACCACAGTACAGTGGTCCGTCTCTAAAGACGTACACCAGGAAGTAGTTTGAATGTGTCATTGTAATCATTTATGTTGCACAGCTCAAACAGGAGCTCAAACAGGCCAAAAAGAAGAATAAGAATCACCCACTGGTTCATGTAAATATCTAAAAACTACTATACTTATAAAATTCTGTCCATAACAGTTCTGTATGTAGTTGATAATTAAGATACAGAAAAATACAGTTAGAAGAACACTTCTCTGTGCACTCCAGACATTGAATGGATTAGTGAATTCCATCAGTGCGGTTGGGCACATTGCTGTTCATTTTGCTCTTCTGTAAACTTTATCAAGATGACAATAAAAAGTCAGTAAAGTTTTTGTTAATAATGTTGAGATGTCATAGGCTTATTTCAAGTAGGTTGGCATATATGGCACATATGGCACAGGTCTGCCATGTGATGAACTGGTGACCTGTTCAAGGTGTTTCCTGCCTTCCGCCCAATGAACGCTAGGATAGGCTACAGCCCCCCCGTGACCCAGAAGGATAAGAGGTTTAGTGTGTGTGTGTGTGTGTGTGTTACCCCTGTCTCACTGACCTCTAATGGTCTTCACTGCTGAGTTACTTAACACTACATTTATTTACTGCTGTAACCTGATTAAAGTTAGTAGACCATCTGCTTTAAATGTAAAAACTCAACATGTTGTTCAATGTAAGGCTTTTGAAATGTGGCTTTAAAACCACAAGACTAAAGAATGCAGGTGATGTTGTAACAGTGGAGAGC